TGTAGAACCACCAGCACCCGAAGGGTTAAAACTAGGTTCAGCTTCTCACTCAGTCTTACACACACACACACACACACACACACACACTCACACACACACAGCCAACCGGTTTAAACCGGTTCACAGGAAAAGTGCTTTGTGTGTCCCAGTGAATCCTGGGAAGGGTCATGTCATGTGTGTGTCTTAGTGATGTCAGAGTATGAAAAAAAAACTTGGGCAGCGCTGCGATCAGATGATTGCTTTGCGTGTTACATTGTGACAGTGTACAGTGTGTGTTGTGAGGATACATCATGGACACTGAGAGGGCTTTATGTTCACTGCCACACAACCTTAGAACAGGAAGGGGAGGAGGTTCTAGTATGTACGGTGTGTGTGTGTTTTGAGCCCAGGTTGTAAGGGTTAACTGTAGTCCTTTACCCCGCAAAAAAAAAACAAAAACCCCAGCTTCCTGTAGCACGTTGCTGGGCAAATCGAAGGCCTCAGAGGAGTTGGAAGAACCAAGCTCTGGGTTCTACAACATTTTTCACTGGACACATTGGGAATATCTCTGAAATGTACTTGTACTTTCTGTTTCTGTGAACTTAGACCTGCATCACCCTCTGTGCCACGAGTCAGCATGGATCTAAACTTTATGTGAGATGATTTCAATGCATTTCAATTCCAATTTCCTTTTTAAATGTCTATTCAACTCCCCTCCTGTCTTTTGACTGTATTCTAATGTGATCATCTAATCCAAGTCATCATCTAATCCACTTCAATAATTACTGTAGCAAAGTAGTTACGGATCACACTTGAGTCTTGTCAGTGTCGACCAACAGAGTCAGCTTTGAAAATATGACATGGACAAGTGAGGACATTTCATCTGTTGGGGTTACAGTTGGGTGGGATAATAAAGGGTTCCTTTATTCAAAGAGTTCTAAAGTAAAGTTTTTTTTAGCTGCTAGTTTGGCTCTCCCTCATTGACTCACCACACCTCATTTATTTAAAAAAGAAATTAATAACACTGGCTGAGGAAAACCAGACAATCTCTATCCTAATAGCAGACAGACGGTTCTTCGTTTAATCGTGTTTGAGAAGCCACTCAAGATGTCTCATTGTTCACGCTAAAGCACGGAGCACAAAGAAACATGTCTGCAAAAGCTGAAGAGGAAAATCATGCAGCATTTGTCCTCCAGCGCTGTAGAGGACTCTGTGACCTTGGGGTGGTTTACTGTATGAGGTGATGCTGTACCTGAACAAGAGCTGATGAGGCACAGATCTCGTGTCCTGTTCACTCTTTCTTAGACCTTGTCACACTCTAGAAACTGCCAAGGCTGCTGCATTGTGGGCAGTGTAGAAAAATGTCTCCCCAAACTCAGTCTGTTCTCACTAGTGGCTATCTTTATCTCATCTTTTTAAAATGCTAAAGTCACTTGGCTGTGCAAAATATCTGATAATATTCCTGAGAAATGTCAAAATTATTCTCTAAAACGAATATCACTACATCTAAAAAAATGTTCTTACTTACTTTGGGTCTACTATTGTTGCAATTCAGTACAGCGGATCAGTCTCACCCAGACTAAGGAAGTTCTGTGGTTCTTCTGCCCCCAGGGTACTTCTAATGCCTTTGATTCCTTGGTCAGTTGTCCCTTTTGAGGCTTGTAAGGCAACTACGTCAGCTATATTTGCAGTGTCAGTCGTCTCAACCCTTGTCAGCACACGCAGTTGAGATAATATCTCCACTGCCATTTTTCATTAGTGTCTACTGTAGTCAGTGCAGCAGAGAGAACTCGGTCTGCAGCAAATACAAGCTTTTAAATACCAAGAAGGCATGTTGTATGTACTGTTATCTGACAATCTGGAGGGTTTACTCCTGTGTTTATTCAGACTGTGTTGTGTGTGCGGTCGAGCAAACTTTACTGTAATAGTGAGCCTGTGATGTTGGACCTTTACAGCAAACTACCATCCACAGTCAGGATGCAGTGGAGCTGAGGTGTAATGACCCCCTGTCACCCAGGGTTGGGGTTAAGCTTCTTTGTCTTTTGCTTCATTTCTTGTTGATTTTCTCATGTGTTCAGCAGCAAGTCACAATGCCCTGTTTGACGTCCTCAGCTGTCCCCAAGACCCATGAAATTGGCGTGCATGCCTTTCCCTTAATAATAGGTATCAGCTGATCCAGTGTGCTGTGGAACCTAGCAGTGGCATTGTGAAAACGAGAGGTCCCAATATCTGTTTAATACTATGTTTTGAAGTCCCCCTTTTTTTGCTGGTTCCTGAACTGAAGTCCACCACAGCACTTGCTGTTTGATTTTACATGTAAGAAATTTCTTTCGTACTACCTACATATCTAACTGCCATAGAATCGTTGCATTTACAGGTGGCTGTCAAAAACTTTTGGGTTTAAACCTTTTTAACACTGACTTGATAAACAGGGGTTGCCCATTTGCCTCACTAAATACTCCTGGGTCTATACACTGTCCTGTTCTTATCCTGTGTTAAAATATAAAACCTTTAAGACTAAAACCTTTATCTGGTCAGGAAGGTGTGCTCCGCAGGTCACCGACCAGATAGCTGCTGATTTAATATCTGTGCAGCTGATCTGTGCAAGAGTGTTTCAATTGGTTGGTTTCAGAGATAAACTCTAACAGATTTAATGACGTAGACCAGGAGTGGCATCTATTATACATTTGTTTTTCTGTGTGCTTGGATGTGGACTATACATTAGAGACAGTGAGACCAATGTGCACAGTTATTATGTAAAAAGCGCAATGACTCACATGGTCCACCGTCTCCCTGCGTCTCGTCTCATTCCTGACTCTGCAGAGACTTTGTTGTTTACGCCTGTTTTCCATGCACCGGCGCACATTTATGTGCACACTCTTGCAGTCCTGTGTGTGATACAAGCTTCTCCATGTCTCTGCATCTGTACTGCCAGAGGTCAACATCTGCTAGATGTGACTTTGTTGAAGAGGAGAGTGTCATAAATCTGCTAAGTGCCAAACTTGTGGAGGGGTTATACCCAACATATTCTTTGATAGAAGAAATAAAGGGTCTCTGTTACGGCTGTGTCGATTTCATTGTCTCTCTATAAAACTCACATGCTGTTACGGTTATCAGTAATCTTCTGCTGCTGCTCTTTTTTGCCTTTGTGCTGTTCACGTACTCACTGACTCCATCATGTTTTTTACTACGCTTTTTTTTTTTTTTTTTTTGGTTTAGACTCAAATTTGGATAATTGGATGTTTTGAAAATTGCACATCAGTCACCACCTTGGTCATGTGACATCTCTAATTCAGCCTGTTTTGTCTGCTTGCTGTGTTTCTTGCAGCACATTCAAGGTCATTTTTCTCTGCTTCCCAATGAAAGACTAAGACCAGGTATAATTGGAGATGGACTGTTTTATTTTTAACTGTCAGCTCAGAAGGGGTCCAGTGGTTTGATTGCTGACCAATCTCATTCATTATTTATGCAAACACAAATGTTTGCATCAGTTTTATGACATTCACTGTGTCCATCTCTGTCTTTGGTGCATATAGAATATGTCCCGATTGACATAGTAAACAGATTAAATGCATTGCAAAATTAGAAATTGGGCTTGAGCTAGGTGAAGCTGTACACCTCCAACGAAAGTTAAAAAATGTTGTGATTTGTAAATTAAAAATGGTTTTGGCTGGCAAACTGTGTTGCAACTGCAACAAAAATGGAGGTGGAGACTTCCTTGAAATGGTCACTGTGTTCCCAAAGCCAGCTGTGAGCTGATCGGGCCCATCCCCCACTCTAACTACTGCCACCTCCTGGGTGTATATCTAGTTGGTAAACAAGTCCCAAATATGTGAATGTTGAAAAGGTCAGACAGAGGGCAGTGTCACTGCAGATGACAATCCACCACCATCATCAAGAAGCATATTGTGATTTAAAACTTTTAAAAATGTAAAATTTTATATTCTTTTTTTTACAGACTGAACTGTCCACATACACTCTCCCTGTGGTAAGAAAATGTAGTAAAACCTCAAGATCAAGTTGTGAGAAGGTGTGTAAGCTAAAGATATCCCATCATTCCAGCTTCAGCAACCTGAGGGTATGGGTTGAAAATATGCAACTGGATTACTTTGGCCCAATGTCCAGAGCTCCACCCAAACAGCAGCGTCTCGACTTAGATTTATTGTGACATAATGTGTAGGTGGGTAGATGATGTGACATGTTGGTTTTTGATTGGCCAGATTATACCATGCGTCTCTATCTTAGGATCACGTTCACGTGTGACTTAGCGCTGCAGTGAAGCAGCTGCTGCTAAGAAGAACTTGACGACAGTCTTGTGGCACTGGTTCCACTTGAAACATTTAAAATACTGTATCTCATGTTGAGATTTTATAAACATGTTGCTGGCTCACGTCCAGAGGTGATACGATGCACTTATTCAGCTGCTTTAAAAGGAAATTACCATTGAGTTTTTCAGTCAGGTTAGAACATGACTGATGTGTATCTCAATCACTGTAGGAAATTACACTTTGAACAGAGGTTCTTGTGAAATGTGTTTGAAGGGAATTTTGATCATTCTGTGGGTGTTTTTAGGAAACACTGGAAGTACTGTCAGCTATTTATTGCCACATTTTGTAATTTACCCATTACATGTTTGACATAAATGTACCGTAGACGGATTACCTGCAGATAAACAAATCCCTGTTCATACTTAAATCTCAATTCACTGCAGTGGTTTTATCTACAGCTCCTCATGGAGTAACTTGATTTTCAACTGTGAAATGCATTTTCACTTGTTGACACATGCACACTACAAACACTACATCATACACTAACTTCCTACTGTTTCATCAGAATTGGATGCATTTCAATTTTTTACCCCATGGCTTAAAGACTTGGCTGTTGTGATGAAATATCACTGCTCAATAAATATTTTATGTGGTAAAATACTTGAGGATTTCTGCAGCCGATGGATCTCCATCTGCAATTTTATACCTGTTTTTTTACGTTTTACAGTTAAGACATTTGTTCCTTCCCTGCAGGGGATGTCTGAGGAGGCCGTCCGCCAGACACGGAGCCAGAAGAGGGCGCTGGAGAGGGAGGCGGCTCCACATTCTGCAGAACCTCCGGAATCAGAAAATGACAGCAAAAAGCCTAGACTGGACTCTTCCGGAACCACAGTACAGGAACAGTCTAAACTAAAACCCGACTCTGTGCTGCCACAGGATGGTCAGACGAGGACTAGCACCAAACTGGAGAATGAGGAGGAGCAGAACCAGCTGCCGTTACCTTTAGTGTTACCATCGAAAGATGATCAGGAGGGACAGAAAACAGCCGAACCAAGCACAGACAATCGGATCGACTGCAATGATCGCAGCGGCCGGGTGAGGCCGGAGACAACAATAGACACGAGGAGTCGCACCCGACTGTCAGAACCAAAGGCGTCCAGTGGTATCCTGGCTGCAGGAGAGGTGAAGGCCACCATTAAAGTGGAAGTTCAGACAGGAGAGCAGCCGGTGGACATGAGCACATCCAGAGGGTGAGGAACAAACACACTTCATGTATTTGTCATGAAAAAGTTATGGTTCAGAAAACTTTTTTCACACAACAGCTGATAGCTTTCTCTGGAAAACTGTCACAGATTGTGTTCTCTGTTGCTTTGACACAACATCTCACTTATGGGAAATCTCCAAAGGATCAATGGCATTTGAAAATGTTTTATAAATACTTTACTGATCCTGATGTCCCTTAAACTTCCTGTGCACGGGGGAGGAGGGAGGGAGGGAGGTGGTGGACCATTGTTGTGTTAAGAGGTGACGTTTTTAACTTTCTCAGCAACCCTACCTCCATTTTCCCCCCACTCACTACCTGAACCCTAAAAAACTCCCCTCACACAAAATGAAGCCGTGTGTCACAAACCGGTTTGAGCCGGCCGTTGCCATGGTTTCCACAGTAGAAGGAACAGTGAGGGGAGGGGCTGGGAGGAAAAGTGAGGCGTTGTCACGTGATGACTTTGAGGTCATGTGACTTCTTTGGAAGAGTAGTGATTAATCCACAGGAAGTGATGATGGTGGCGCTAAACCCCGAGGAGAGAATAACTCACACACACACACACAAACACACAGACATTCTGAGGGCAGCTCAGAGAGACAGGCCTCACGTTGTCATGCAGTGACTTTAACGACTTCTCATGCCTCACAGAAATGCACAATCTACGTCATGACAAGACCATCCTTGTTTGATTTGACAGAATAATTACACATGTTCTTGAGCTTGTTACCATACAGTGATGTGGGTCAGCTCCACATACACACAGCCCACACATGAACAGGGACTGGTTTTACGGTAGAGATCATAGGACTTTGGGTGTAAGATGTATATAATCTGAATACTTACTGTACAAGGAAATAATGAGAAATGAAGCGTGTCAGACGTGGCCCAGCTGCATTAGCACTATTTGTGTGTATGATTGTAGGTTTTCCAATATTTATCACCTATGTCAGAAGACTGGAGCCAGTCCTCTAAGGGTGTGTTCATACCTGTTTTTGTTTATACCTTGGAGCTTAATAAACATATTGTTTGATTCACGTTGATAGAAGTCTTAGGTCAGCTTTGGCATTTATACCACTGGACCAAAGAAGTCGACAAGATCATCATATGATTTATTGATGACGTTGGCCGTGGACAGGTCTCATGGTTTCTCCAGTACACTGTTGGCTGTTGAGCTGAATGCACATTCAGTTTTATTATTGGCAGGCAAAACCCATTATTTTAAAAAATGTTCTGGACCCACTTGCTGTTGCATGCTTCTGTAGCACATGTTCAAGTGAACAGGCTTATTTCTAAGCCAGACATGTCACGTGTCAATTCACCATCAAACAGTCAAACTCCTCTCTCTTTGATCGCAAACAATCACCCTGCAGCCAAGACTTAACTATAACGTTTAAATACTAGAAACGCAGATATTTGTTCACCTTTTTTAAAGTGCCCCCCACCCCACATTGAGGGTCCTGGACCAAGTTGAGTACGAATGTTTAAAAGTTCAAATCAATAACGAATGACAGCCCTATTTCAAAATACAACAAAAGCAATAAAATCAATTATTAAAGAGACAACGCCAGTGAAAAGAATCTCATACAGAAGTTCTGTGTTCACTTTTACAATAGCTTCTAGTCTTTGTCATCAGGCGCTGCCCCTTTGTTGGAATGCTATCAACGTGAAGAGAAATGTGAGGAGAGTTGTCTGGACTTGCTGGATCAACCTGTTGTCATAAATCAGGAGCAGAGCAGCAGACCTCAGAGAATACAAACATTAAAAATGGTTGAGTCATTTAGGCGAGTGAAGCTGTGCTTGGAACACACGAGTGAGAGAGTTGAATATATTTAATGTCCACTCCTAGGAAATATCAACACACCAACCAAACTGAGCTGACACGGTGTGTATTATTGTCTTTTTGAATTAAAAAAAAACAAAAAAAAAAAAAAAAAACAGCCTCAGGGCCCCCACTTTTTTTTGTTTTTTTTTATTTAAAAAAAAAAAAAAAACAGCCTCAGGGCCCCCACTTTTTTTTGTTTTTTTTTAATTAAAAAAAAACAAAAAAAAAAAAAAAAAAGACAAGAAAATGTGTGGCACTGATGCTGTTTCTTTTTTTGTTCATCTTCTACCACTTACTGACACTCACTAATAAAGCAGCGTCGTCTTGTGTTATTCACCTGTAAATCACACCTGAGTATGATTTACTTCCTAACACTCTAACACTGAGTGCATCTGTGTGTGTTTTCAATCTTAAAGTACTTAAATACATTTATTTTTACAGTTAAGCTGAAGTAGCTGTAACAACATGGTGTACAGTTTTAGTTCTTACAGACTGGGTCTTTGATTGACACCTGCATTGTCCAGTAAGAGCCTGGTGAGGTCTGCTAGGCTGTGTTTGAACAGCTGTGATGTGCTTTTTCTCACTGTTTATCTGATGATTTGAACAAAATTAAGATGAAGACATAACTGAGTAAAAGCTGATCTCATGTACAGATACCTGTGTGTTTCTTACATGTAGACTTTGACTATATGGTACTGTTAGAAGCACGTGACTAATGATGCATACTCATACAACAAAGCTGCCGTCGTCTCATTTGTCTGTCAACAGCATAAAAAGAGAGAAGCGCCCTCCAACCCCAGAGGATGATGATGATGTCATCATCCTGTCAGATAATGACTCCCCGAGTCCTCCCATGAATGGACTGAGCCACTTTAAGGAGCTGGACACGGACCTCCTCATGGTGAGACGGAGCGAACTACGGACGCGGGTTTAAAATGAGTTTGTTTTATTGTAACCGTGAAAGTTTGAGTTACTTTGTGTGTGTGTATGTAGAAGAAGAGCCCTGTGGAGAGAGAACAAATCATTAAGCAGCTAAAGG